CAACAGAAACAAGAAGTGGGTAACAGCTCATCAACAGAAGAACCTCACCAAGCCTGACCCACTGATGTGAGAGGGAATCTCATTATAGGACGATTAGCTATAAGCATTTACTCAGGGTTTTACCTCCCAAGAAACCCAAGACCTATTTCAAGCTCTGAACAGTCACGACACAAGAATAGGACACAAGTGTCATAAGAAACTGCAGTGATGACTAAGCCAGATACTCAAAAATCAAATTTACCTCAAGAGACCATGCCTCATTTGTAACTATTTCCAAAATTTCTTAAGAGAAGCAAACAACCCTTCAAGTCTTTCAGAGCAGATACTGGCTGACTTGGCTCCAGCTAATAAGCACTGTCATCACTTTGCAGTGAGGAGAGGGGCCAGCTGTGCATTAGGATTCTAGTCACTTTTCACACTCCCTCAGCTGACTGCTGAGAGGTTTCTTCATATGCCTAGTCGAACGTACTGCTCCAAACAGGACTCAGGTTGTCCGCAACCTCAGACTGCCTTAAGGGACAGGCTGCAGTGCTTGCAAGAAGTCTAAATACAAAGGCTTTGCTTAAAGGACTGGAAGAACAAACAAGACCTTACAGCTCAAGGTGCTTACCAGAAAGGATAAATGCCCAACCGTGTAACAATGAATACGACACCAAAGAGCATGAAGAAAGCATCACATAGACGTTGGTACTTGGCATAATTGGCTAGCTTTGCAGCCTAAAAGAGACAAGAAACATGACAATATTATTCCCTTTGTGCAGTCATTTAATTACCAGGCTGTAGAGCTTCAAAAACCCTCAAGCCATCACATTTGTAAGGAGTTTGGAACATTTAGGGATTATTCTCAGCTCTAAAGCAGTTATGAAGAAAAGCTGACAAGGCGGGATCAGCAGCATAAGTTTTATGGCATATTTAATGCAGTTTATCAAGAATGGGAAAGTCAGCTTGCTCCCCTGAGACCACACTAGCATTAGGTATGCAAAGATTTGAAAGGAAACTCACCTCTAAAAGGAAATCTGATGCATCATGGAGGCACAGCACCAGGGTTCCAACCCGCACCATATTATTCATATAAGAGAATGTGATGAGTCCAATTGTAGCCAAATGATGGACGAACATGATCAGAAAGTCCTGGAAACAGGAGAAAAAAAAAAAATGAATGAAGACTCTTTGGCTGTCAAACAAATACAAAGGTTTGGAACAGAGCCACAAAACCGACGAACTGGGGTCATAGGATTACTTCAGTTCAGACTCTGACTCCACTTTTTATATAAAGCACAGCTCACTACACAACATCAACCATCATCAGTAAAGATTCGAGAAAGGTCTCTCCCAGCATTTGTGCTCCTGTGAAGTCAGAACTCTGCATACACAGGCACAGCGCAGTCTCTTTGCCACACACATGCAAGGTAAAGATAAGTATGCCTGCAGACCCCACTGAAAAGATTGACAGGACAACATATGGCCCTTCTTTTTGGCCCCTTTTGGTTTTACAGTCATATTGCTAGTCCTTTCAGCTCTTGGCACAAATTTTAAGTACGCTGCTATTACTTTTGTCAGTGTGCAAAAGCCTGCTAGAGCACAGCAAGCATAGAACACAAGATAACCTAACAGCAAGAACTAGGCCACTTCATTAAAAAAATGTTTACAATGCACATACATTCAGGGCTGTTTTCCAGTTTAGCCCCTGGGTACAACACTTCCATGTCAAGTACCGTACCACGCTTGCGGTGGGGAATGTAATCCATTTTGTTAAAGTCAGAGTACAAAATTAAACATTATAAACAGTATCACAGATGCTGTTAATCACTCCCTTTCTGCAGCTCCAAGATATTCCATAGTGCCTCACCTGCTAATATCTCGGTACAGAAATAAAGTCCCAGGCAAACTTTTCTTTTTGAACAGTCAATACAAGAATTGGCAAAATTTGCTACTTTGCTGTTTCTATAACAGAAGCAGTAAACCATGATTTACTATGAACTGCTTTCCAACAGCAACAATAAGCCAAATCCTAGCACGTAGCGCAACAGAATTAATTCCGGCAATCGCGACCAGTCATCATTCTGCTACACACACAGATGAAAAATTACTTTCAAAAAAACATTTATTATTGCTTTAGTGTTTGCAATTTTCTCACCCAGCTCAGCAAGGTACTGCTTTGAGCATCTCATTTTCATATTTTCTTGCAAGCCCTCTATTTAAATCTATTTTTACGCAATGATTTGATAACATTTTATTGGGAGGTATTGAGTGATTCTTCTGTTCTTTCCCCTGGAAGGTGAAAGGGACTCTCAAGGATATACCAGGTTGCATATCAGGCTTGATCCTCCCTTTTCCCCAGGACCGGGTAGCGATTACAAAAGGAGGTAGGCTACACAAAGATGTGAATGAGGAAGAAAATTCAACTACTATGTTTTAGCATTACTGGTCAGGCACACTCACATTTTTTGTTAGTCCTATCTATTTAGCAAAGTGGTTAGTGCAATTCTGGTTAATCTCACCTTCCGTTTAATGTCTGTAAACTGAGAAAACATGAGAGACCAATAGAAGGCCAGCTCCAAGATATAGTAATAATAAAGCCTGGATGTTAGAGGCTGGAAAACAAACAAAGATAGCACAGTTAGAAGACAAAGTACTTTAAAATTTACATTAAAATCCACTTCTTCCTTCCTTCCCATCCCTCTGTGTTCCTCCAGAATGCTGAGGCATAAGTTAAACGATCCAGAATTAAGGTTTAGTAAAAACAAGCTTAAGCAACAGACGTCTTACTCTAGGCTTACTCACACAAACCTATTTTTGTGTTTGAGCTTTATTCAAAAGGAGTAAGATTCTCTTGACTGTATTTACAACTCATACTGCAGCCTCTTGGATTAGGAAAACCAGGCACTGAAACAGACTGGTTGTCCTCTATACAATCATACTTGCTGCATAATGAAAACAATCCGGTAAATAAGTTACCAGTATAATTTTATGCATTTTTTTTCACTATTAATAATCTCAGCAGCAAGTAAACATAAAATGAATATGAACTGAGTCAGATCTATCTGAGGAAACACCGCTATTGACAAACCTAACCAGGATCTGGAGACGTAAAGAGTAAATGCCATCTTTGTGCCTTCCAAAAGGGATAGCCATTCACTCACTAGAAAGCTTACCAGGTTGCAGCCTGTGGAGCATCCACCCCGCAGAATAATGAGAAGGACTCAAGTCTACTGAGTTTCAATCTGCTATCATTAACAAAAAATAAAACCTGAAATTTTGCAAGAAGTTGGAACCCAGTAAATGTTTATCTCCTACCTGAAAAGGGTAGTTGTACCAGCACTGTCGTGTGTCCCAAAACCAGGGTGCCTAAAGGTTAAAAGATAAGTTATTATTCTACTGGGTTTTTTCTTCCCTGTCATCTAAGGCAGTTGACCACTACAGTACTGTTTCACTAGAATTTTATCTTGATTCTACCATTCAAGTTAAATTTACTGTAAAACATCCTAGTGACTTAAAATATTCTTTCTGCAGTCAAAGGCAAGTTATACTGCAATGGAAATTCAAAGAATAATCCTACAGCTCTAATAATAATAATAAAGACCCAAAGAGATAAATCTGTATCCCTTCAAGAGGAAGAGAAGAAAAAAAAAAAGCAGCTCTTCCTCGTAAAAAAACCAAACAGAACAGTTCTGTCCCATTCTGGGGTAACAGGACAAATAAGTTTCTAATATTTCCATAATGACAGATCTGTACAGGAGTTTTCCTATACTGTAAAGAAGGTCCTTAAACAGAAACCCCAGGATCTCAAATAAGGGAACATAAACATGACTATCATCACTAAACTCCCCTTGTTTTAAGCTAGTTGCAAGCACTAAAGAAGTGACACAGGTAGCCAAACAGGCTAAATCTCAGGAGGACAACCATAACCCAGCTGCCTGTCACACAGAACAACAAGGAGGGGGGGATGACAGACCAACTCACCGTCCAGAGAAACCTGATTCCATAAAAAAATATACTTAAATAAAATGTAAATCTCCACCTGGAAAAAGAAGCAAAAATTAAACTCATGAACTAGAAATAGCTTCTGGTTAACATTTGTAACAAAAACTGGAACAATTGTGAAAAAAACCAATTCTGACACTTGAAAAGCTTTCACCCACCAAATGGTAATTCTTCACTTGTAAACACTTCATGTAAGGATGAACCTATTTAAGAGTTTTCACACTGCACATGAGTTTGCATCAAGAGCCAAGTTTGAAATAAAGTTCAGAGTGAACATGCATCATTCATATGCTTTAATATACAATAAGATAACAACAGGGTAAGTCATTGTTATCCAGAAGGTATCCTAATATATGTATTTGTCCCTCTTACCTTGTGGCTTTAAGTAGACAAAACCATACTGGGGGGAAGAATTAATATGAAGAAAGTTACTGGAAAGGAAAGAAACCAGCACAGAAGAAATAACAAGTCAGGAAAAATTATTCAGATGTTACTACACTAACAGAGGTAACTGCAAGCATTCAGAAAGAAACAAAGAACAAAAGAATGAACTGAAATGAAAAGAACAGGAATCCAAGAAGTGTCTGTATAAAAGTATGTACATCATTGTGTAAGCCATAAGGTCATTCTGTCAGGGAACAAATGCTGGTCTGCAACATAACTGTGCAGACAGCAGACTTGGCTTCAGTATAATTACTCAAGTTGTGGCTATGCATATGCATACATGCACACACATGCGCACTGAAATGCTATGCTTGCATTAAGGACCTGGTCCACTATCTAAGGCTGCTCATCATTGACAGGAATAACTCCTGTACATGTGTTCTGGTCTCTCATGCACATATACAAAATATTTTAGAATACTGAATTCTGAAAAGCCCTCCTAACTTCCCTCATTTGCTTATGTAAGAATTTACCTTCCACCAGCCAACCCCAAGACACTAGATTAAATTAGCAGCTGACCACCGTTTCAGTTAGAAAAGAGAATATACAGCTGGACCTTTAAGATGAAGCCACATCTTGGCCTCTGCACAAACATACATGCTCTCACAAAATTTAGTGAGGGTGGTGGGTTTGTCCTGGTTCCTCCGATGACGAAACCAGCGCTGGATCTTTCGAACATCCCAGTCTAGCTGCTTTGACAAGCCTTCTAACCTTTTTCCATCTGGAGACTGAAGGAAAACGAAACAAGTGTCATTTCTCCTACTTCTCAACCTCCTTTCAGTCAGAGATCCCCTCTGTACTATGATAGAAATGATGCCCTGGTAACAAAAAACACACACTAGGAAGGCACCACATACAGACTAGAAGCCAGAACCTATTGCCACGAATGTTCATTCAAGTTTAACCTTCATAAGCCACTAATTACTTAATTATTCAGAATACTTTTGGTTTAACATTTCCTCATCTATTTCATCATTTGACAGCACATTATGTTTTGTTTCTTAATTTGGGGGGAGGAGCTTTTAAAATGTCCTGTCCTACCTGTTAAAACTTGCACATCAATTCAAACAGTCCAGAACTCAGGAAGATCAAAGCTGAATACATTTAAGGGTTGCTATTCACTCCAAGGTCAGAGAAATTTTAAAGTAACAGTTGGTTTAACACACTAGGTATTTGTATATTCCAAAAGGGCACTGTAGAGATGGCGTTATTTCCATTATCAAAGTTTATAAATAAAATTAAATTTGAAAACTGAAATAATTGTATGATAAAAAAATGTATCACTGTTCTCCGACTGCAAACTCTCTACTGGCAGTTTATTTGTTTGAATAATGACATAAATGGATTTATAAGAGACAAAGTGAACAAAACCTGATAACTACCTCTAAAATGGCCCAGTGGTGAGATAAGCCACGTTAGTTTCAGACCAGTGTCCTTTTAACAAGCTCTGCCAGGGAGCTCTTACAACTGAAAGACGATAAACACATTTTACTACTTGAGTTACATACAAACCCAAAAAACTATGCAGAATGCTGACTTAATAAAGAGTCACCAGATTGCTCAACTGAAAAGCAAAACCATCTGTCATTTGATTTTCAGTATTGAGACTATGACTTTCCTGTAATTCCATCACAGCCAGATCTCTCTGCACTTTACTAGGCTTTAATGGTTCAGGCTACCTGACACTTCTGCATTGGAAGGGAACCTGTCTCAAAGGAGACTTTACAGAGCTCCGATTTCAGAACAGCAACGAAATCTTTCCCCTGCATCAGTGCCACCCTACATTCTGATTCTCCAAATCCAACAGCAGACACAATCATACGGGTACAGTTAAACACAGCTTTGTTTTCATAAGCTAGATAAATTTTGCACAGCATGTCTCCTCATGGGTTTCCTAAACATTAATTTCAAGGACATCCCCTACATAAAAGTCCTTCCCACAAACAACATCAAATCATAGGGATTTTTCAGTTCACACGTCATTCCAAATACCTCAAAACTTTAACGTTCCCATGAGGCGAGTTTTAGTAAGGTTTTTATAGAATTTCCCTTCATTGAGCACTTTATCTGCTCCACTCAGAATGAAGTTCAGCATCACCAAATCAGAACATAAAACCTTCCATTTCATTATCTTTAATGAAAATCTATCATGCTGTCTGCGTGGATTTCACTGTCAACATTCAATAGAGTACAGACGGTGTGGAATTCTGTAATCCAGAACTGAGGGAGCACTGTCAGCTTAAGTGAAAGAAAGGCCATGAAACAATCAAAAGAAACACCTACTGTCAACATTAAATGTCCTACCCTTTATCAGGGCACACTTCCATTAACTGAATGCTTTCCTGAAATAACCAACTTCCACTGTGACAGCTGTTGCCCAACTCCACAGTAGATGGCAAAAATAAGAGGAAGGCATTCACACAGCTGGCCAATAAAACCAGCAAAAGAACAGATCTCAAGGATAAGAGTAGCACTTTGGCAATAGAAAGTGAAGGATACTGGGAAATTTCTTGTTAAATCAAGAATTACCACCTGTTGCGGGAGTTACAATTTGGCAGGGAACTAAAGGAAGAAGCCTCGTACCTTTCTAAAAAGAGAACATTTTTTTAATTCAAAAAAAGATTCTTCTGTGCACAAAAGCATAGGTCAGCCATAAAGACAATTTACTTTGCTACAAGAAGGACATGCCAGAAGCAAAGTAAAATAAGAAAGAGCACACTCACTGCACATGCATACTGTGAAATGCGTTTCTCTCAAACTAGAAAAGTGGAAACAAAAAGCTCCCCCTCCCAACCCTCACTTATAGGCCTCCATTTCTAGCAGAATTTGAAACATGACTCACCTTAGTGATGGATGTAAACACTTTCTCTAAAATTGCATTGGGCTGGGCTCTGTGAGGTCCACTGTCTTGAATGCCAAGGTTTATGGCACATGGCTTGGCAATAAACCTGAAAGAGTTCCAAAGAGCGAGCTAGATTAAAACAAGATATCTGTTTCCCTCCTCTGCCTAAATCACAAGGACCTTGACTTGTCACCAACTGCAAAACCTATCCAAAAAGCTTTTGAAGATCTCCACTCACTTTGCTTAAAGAAACGTCACAGGTGAAGTAATATCTTTTATTAGTCCAAATGGTAATTGCAGACAGCGCACAGGGTATGCACATCTAAAATGAAAAATTAAATCTTGATGTCCTTGGCTTGTAAGGATCAGAATTTGTTCCCCCAGGGTGATTCTCATTACTCAGAAATAAAATAATAGATCACTGATAGGAGTCCCCTGTGAACACAGACGCTAGAGCCCTTGTAGCACTATAAACAAAATGCCTTATTTCCAGAATGCGCCTTGGTGTCACATAGCTCAGAAAAAAGGGAAGTTCAAGCGACACAGTTCCTAAAAGACACAGAGTTTTGAGTTGTTTCTTTTGTCTTTGGGAAAAATAAAGTGGCTTGTTTCCTTTGGGAGAGTGAGGAAGACATAAGGAGTAACTCAGTCTGAAAGACCCAAGACCTCAGTATCTCACTCAGTCCTGTCTGTACCATGTATTCCAAAAGCTGATCTAACACTTTGTGAATTTTATAGCACAGACAATCTGAAACCAAGCCTGATTTTGCAACTAAAATTAATATATACATCTTCAAAAAGTATTAGGTTTTGCTGTACCTTTGAGTTAAAATGGGCACAGGATTCTAAGGAAAACGCATGTGTTACCTGAACGCGCGAACTGTTTTCTCTCCTGTTGGTGGGCAAGAGAGAAGGGTTTCAAGGATCAATTTTTATTATTTCTTTAATTAATTCTTGAGAGGGAGAGAGAGCAAAGAACCTGTTTCTCAAAACCGATTTTGAAAAGGACCCAACATTTGCATCATTACATCTATTTTGCTTCGAAGCAGAGATTGTTTCAGAGACAACTGAATTGAAGACAACAAACTACATATGTATTCCATTTAGCAGACTCAGGATTGCCATCAAGCTGAAAACGCTTTTTCCAACCACTACATTTGTTACCATTTCTCCTTGTGTTTAAAAGATTAAAATTCAGGAGAATCACAACTGTAAGTGTTCCCACAGCAATCATTCTTGGGACTGCATTGTTAGTACTTCAGTAACAAACAGCTATGACTGCCTTTAAGAACAGACACAGGTTGTGGGGTTTTCCCCTTGAGAATTTACAGATCAGCTCATGACTAATCCTAAAGGAACTCCCCTGCTCTCAGAAAATGCTAAACAAGTAATAGACACTGTGGCCCCAGGTTTCACTGTCCTGCCCCATTTCTTCATACGTCCTGTTCATTTCAACAGTCATAGCTTTAAAAAAAAAAAAATTAAA